CAAAACTAATGTTGCAGATTAAAACCATTACTAAACTCCATGGAAACTTATAATTTATTATCACGAGCAGTTTGTAGTAATAGAAGAATCTAAGGTACCAGAAACAAGTCTTTGTTACATTTGCCCGATCAATTAAACTAGAATACCGCATTGAAAGGTGCGCAGCAAAGTACTGCCACAATAGTAGTACACCATATTATTGTAAAGCAAAAGAGACGCCTTAAAAAGTACTTTCGGCAGTGTTCCTCATAAACATAGCATATGTCAGCAAACTGTTCTACTCCAAGACATATTGCAGTAGTTGTAGGGTCGATTCTACATCGCCTCAACAAGTCATCAGCCAAATTTTTCGCCAGTTCTTCCGGATAAAGACTTCTAATTCCTTTGACAACATATTTTTGTCTGTAGTTAAAAACACGCCGGCAAACTTTTTCTACCACCTGAAATGTTATACAAGCGTATTCGGTTTCATGTCAGGTAAATGCAACTTCATTTCTGTGATCATTTTAATATTATTACTAACTAATCAGAAGCAGCAACTATTGGCCTCATATAAAAATTGACTTGGCTAACAAAAAACGCCATGCCAAATAAAATGAAAATCTTTCTCCAACGTTGTCAACACCATAGGCTAATACGACTTTGGATACAAACAGTTATGTGATAAACTATTAATATTAATATGTACGAAAATACAAGCAGATGAAAACCGAATTCTTGATCTTTGGAAAAAAAAAAGAAAAAAAAAACTAGCCTCGAAGGACGTTTTAATCAATGGATCTTGCCTCGGAATGAAGCGCACCACACCGACATTAACCTTAGGAGATGGAACAAAGCATCGTCCTATTAAAGCAGTATATAAATATTAAATCTGAAGGCAACACATAATCCGAACAGAAGCAGGGAGAGAAAACACAATCAAGATTATTTTACTCTTGACAAATTTGAATAACGTTTACAACAATCGTCAACAAAATTTAATACCTGGTATTTGAAAAAGTAATTTGGGCTCGGTTACGAATGCAGACATGATTGAAATTCTGGCCCGAAACGGGGAATCAACTGGGGAACAAAGACGCTCCGCTACTTCCATCTGAAACGTCAACAGCAATGGGATACGTCCAAATGACCATGGACCTTGACGATATAACATTTCACGAAGGAATCTACAAAAAAAGGATGACTCAATAAAATGAATAGGAGAATGAAAACCATCATTTCCAGACAACTAATTATGTGACAACTAATACTCTTGATCCTCGCTTACTTCACGTAAGTATGAAAATGGCATTTCCCACGCTTTCATTGGAAATCAAAAGCGAACTTTATAATAAGCGGAGAAGCAATATTGAAAGGTAGATTGCCAATGATATGCGCCATCGGAAGTCTATCCTCTTCCCAAGCAACACGTTCCAAACCAGCTTGGGACCAAATTTGTTCAATATTTGTTTTTAAAATATCCGCCCGATGAATGAACATACGTTCTTCGCTTGCTTCCTTCAGTACCTGTTCAAAATTCACCTTAGCATAGACATACATGCATTTTTCTACCAATTCCAGGTAATCTTTTCATCTATTTCTTCCTCTTCCATTCATTTACTTCTCTTCTTAACTCTCGCAACCATTTCCAATCACCTTTTCCACATGTGCTCAGATATTCGTGTACAAATATTTCCTTACTTCTGCCAAATCATTTTGCCTTCTGAACAATTCTGAAGCTTCCATTACTTCTTATTTGTTACTTAGCATAATTCTATTACAAAATTCACTTCAAGTGGTGGAATGAAACGATGGTCGATTTCGATAACATCAAGTCGTCGACAATTCGTTTCCAGGATAGCACGGGTGATCGATCCTGGACCAGGTCCAATCTCGATTACGTAGTCGCCTTCCTTCACTACTGCTTGTCTTACTATCTATATGAATAAAAGTAACGATGATGGGGTAAAAAAAAAGAATAAAACTGCACAGCATTATAAAATTCTCTCATTTTATCGGTTGCTCATGCTGATATTTTTTTTCTATGAAAATTAACTGAACAGACAGAAATTTTTTTAAAAAGCTAAGCTCATTTCTCAACTAGATATGTTGTGTTTTTATACATACTTCAGAACAATAAACATCCGTTTTTTTGTATCTGCAAAAATGAAAAATGGAACGAAAGCAATTCGAATGTAATTATCACTCTTTCTCTCTAATGAATTATGCTTCCTATTCCTCAATATAAAACAGAAGAATATGTCTAACCTTTCGTGTTAAATTCATATCCATTAGATAATTCTGTGACAGGATTTTCTTGGCTTGCAAACGATAGGCATACAAGAAATTCTTCAGTGATGGTAAGGGTGGTAAACGTGAAAAGTTCGTCGCCATAGTAAAGTTCCAGAAAGATTCTTTCAATAATTGAAATAAACTCCGTCATCCGCATAACCCATATAATTTCAGTTCATCAAACAAGTAGCTAAAAGAACAAAGTGAAGTTGAATTTATTAGTCAACCTGTTTCAAAATTTCCAGATATTATTTGGGGATAATGTTGGTACGAATATCAAATCAGGTCAAAAGACCGGAACAAACACCATAGGAATTACTAGGGATTACTAGATCATATGTAAGCAGACTGTCCATCTATCCTTAATCACTTTCTCACTGTACCACCAGCACATGACAACACCCTACCTATCCGTACTTTCCGCTATATTTAAGACTATCAAATTCCAATATCTCCCAAAAAAAAGGAAAAACAACCACGAACCCCAATATTTCAATTTGCTATATAACCACCTTCTCCACCCTTCCTCATTTCTTACTAATTTTTCCAACCTTCCAACTATCAGCATTCAGAATCTGCAGCACTTTTTTCCATTACACGGTCGAATACCTAGAACCTTTCGGTTCCAAGAGCCAGAAGCCACAACTGATTCACGATATATGATTCCATTGGTCACAAGTGATCGTGCGATTCTCAAACCTTGCCAAATAAAAAAGTAGGGATCCGTCTCAAACTTTACAACAATAGACGGAACTGCTCTGAACTTTTATTAACTAAAATATCAGGTACAAAATTAATTTCCACAAGGTTCGTATCTAGCACACTCAAAATAAGATACTGAGAAGCTTCTTATATATCAAAACCATGACAGAAATAAAAACATGCCATACCAAACCATTACGAAATATGCGATCTAATACAAAAATATACTAACAAACAGTTCCATTACAAGTTATTATAAAGAATTAATAATGATACTGAAGACTGCAAAACATATAAACGATACAAACAACAAACAGTGGATGGACTCGATCTAATATTCATGCTTCCAAACAGTAATATTAACGTGTTGGCGCTGCTCAAACTTTGTCCTTAAGAGACATAAATTCGCTTAACTCTTCTTTAATGGCCTTCAGAAAATCGTTGTAAGCCCGTTCGAAGTCATCGTTTACTATCACAAAGTCGAATAAACTTGGTTCGGCGTCGACTAAAATCAAACTAAGTTTAGGTTAAACGATGCTGTACGAATTAATTACTTAATAATTTCATATTAAAAGTTCCCTGCACAGAGCTGATGCACAAATTATAATAAAGAAATGGACTAATACTAAACGAACCAGCATTTAAATCGTCCTCTGCATGTTTCATTCGTTTCTTCAGCGATTCCTCGGTCTCTGTCTTGCGAGCACGCAAGCGCTGCTCCTGAAGTTAATAAACAGAATAATGACTGAAACTTGCTTAGAAGAGCAAAAACTGGTTTTCCATGTCAAGTCTCTTGTTTTCAAGATCACCGTCAATATTTTTTAAGTATCAAATCTTACTGGATGCCTTAGTAAAATTTGAAACTTAAAATCCGCTTCCTGCTGTGATCCTCAAACTAACATATATCAGAAACGCTATCTTGTCTTCATTACATCAGCGGGACTGGAAGGAACTTGAATCTTTCGATTATCGTTCAAGATCTAGTTCAGTAATCTAATGCGTCAGTGATTATCAGGATGTGGGAGTCATTCTGACCCCTTCTGTTCCTAAACTGATGCAGACCTGATATCCTAGCGCTTTTTAACTCGATGTCAGCGCTTCACCACCGTACAGGTCTAGAAACCTTATCAGCAAATTCAGTATATCTAGCCTAGTGGTGACTCGAGTCTGTATCTCTTTACAGTAATTCATAAGTACTAGTCAACGAAAAAAGAATGAAATGAGCAACCAGTATTTTCAGACTTGGCGCCCTGATAAGAATATATTTTGCATCCAATCCACATTTGTGTATACTACGAACGCCCTGCAGCTCTACATCTAAGATGCATATACACCCTGCTTTCGACACATCCTCCAATGCTTTTTTCCTGAAATAATTTTATTTTGAATGATATCATTTCAAATCTCTAATGGCCTAAACAATCTGAGTATATAGTGGACCATATTCAGCAATGCCAATAATAATTTAATAAAAATGAAGAAATTCCTTCAATAAAACAAAAACGATCAAACTGAAACGTACGACGTCCCATAGATATTCCCACCAAATGTTGCATACTCCAAGAATTCATTATTTTTGATCATTTCCTTAAATTTTTCCTCAGTTACAAACCAATAATTCTTTCCATCAACCTCTCCAGGCCGTGGTTTTCGTGTTGTGTCTGAAATACTTTTTTTTTCTTTTACATTAATATGCATAGCACAATAAAACAAGAATTCAAAACACGCAAAAAAAAATCTGGCCACTGAAATTTTCACTGCGAGTTTTTCCACTGTGGAACTATCGTTTATTTTGAATGTACATAAAACAAATGGATTAAGATTATTTACGTGAAATTGCAAATGCAAAAGCATTCGGATATGTTTCCATTGCTCTACCAATCACAGTACTTTTGCCTCCTCCTGATGGACCTGATACAACGATTGGCTTCATCCTGTGTAACAATCAATTTTAAATTGAAAAGCAAACATATTAGGAGGGAATATCACATCAAATTACATTTCTTATATTAACCCGCTGCATTATTCACTATCTGATACTAGCTGGCATAATCTGCGATAGAAAAGGGAGAGTTCTCTTAGTAATTTCGTAAATTTATTTGCTACATTTCTTTCACATATGCTTTTGCTTTTTTTGAAATACTGAAGAACTTTTCGTATCTATGTGATATCCACGTCATAGCCTCCATAAACATATATAGTCCATTTACAAGTTTTCCGCATTAATTTAAACATAAAATCAAAAAGAACAAACATGCAACTTCTATAAATGATTAAAAAACCGCACAAGTCGAAAATAAAAATTTGAGTAATTGGTCAGATAATCAGAACAACATAATGTGTGGCTTACTTAGTTTCCAGAAACAATGATAAAGCGACAATCGGCTTCAAAATATTGTAATGCGGCGATGATAGGAAGGAAATATTGCTCGGACGCAGGAGAAACTTTGATAAATGAGTGAGTGTATTATTCGTCTGCTGATCTCAGTGCGAACAGTGTGATGTCATCATAGAAATCCATCATTCCAGACAATATCGTCAATTTGTTAATTGCAGAATGAATCGCTAATGCATGCACAGAAGCCACTAAAAGCTTTCCCATACTGGTCGAACAATTTCCTGAATGTAAACAATTATTAATCAAGCTAATAGAGTTCATTCAAGAGTGATGTCTTATTCTCCAAAATTGCATACTGATTCAATTTTTCTAATTGAACAAAAATTTGAAACACAGTTTTTTCCCTGTTTCAAGTTAAAATATTCACCAAATAAATAAGCAAAGAGAATGCATACATTAGGAAATTACCCGACTTATACGACAATACTTTTAGTGTTTCATATATTAACAAGCAATTTTTCTACTATTTGTAATTTAAAGGGTTTTATTGTTAAATTCTCTAGAAGTAAATGTTTTTATTCGATAGTAAACAGATAAAGTATTTATTTTTATCATTTAACCCAGTAAAAGTATGAGGAAGAAAGGAAGAACTATAATTGTTTGTTATGGAATAAAATTTTTTTTTTAATACAAAACACCCCGCTTAAAAATAAACCAATTTTTATTAAATTCGATGAATTTACATGGTTAATCAATGCATGACAGATGAAATAGATACCTGTCGTGAAGTAGAATTATTTGACATGAAGAAACATTCTCGTTAAATGACATATTTGGAGTTTTTTCGTTAGTCATTTGCATAACACGTTCAGTGCTACGATGGCAATGTTAATGATTATTTGTAGCAATGGTAAAAACGGCAATTCATAGCCATAATAAACATGTCAAAACTATCATAACACGTGATCCACGTGATCATACGTACGGACAACTGTGAGGGAAAATTGAGAATATCTGGATGTATGAAATTTTAAACTTAACCAATGGCAAATTTTTGCTTTTAAACATTTGTTCTCTATTGCAACTCAAAAGCAGATACAGTATCCTTGGTAAATTTAAATGTTTGTTAAAAAGCAAATTTAAAAATTTTCTCTCTAAAAATTCCCAGGGTATGTGACAAAAAACTTTCAGTCAATTTATGAATTTTTTGCAGAAGTTATTAATATATATTTTACTGAAATCCTTTTATTAGTTTTAAATTTTAAATTAAAAAAAAAAAAAATGTGAATAGAAGATTTATCTTCTTCATATTTCAATATATCCAACTAGCGAATTTATTTATTTCATCTAAAATTTGCTTGATGAAACTTTTTTACTCGAATAAAATACTTCATTATTTAATTAAAATTTTTGCTTAAATTACTTATTCACTTTAATGATATATTTGATGGAATTTACTTAATTACTTAAAGATCACTTAATTGCTCAAAATTACTTATTGCTTATTTATTCAGTGGAATTGAACATAATTTACTTAAGTAATGAAATTTAATTAATTAAATTTAACCTAGTGAAATTTTTTGATTTTTTCCATTTAATCTTTCTAAATTTATATAGCAATACGAGTAATTACCTTTTTATTTTGTTAAATTTATATAGCAATACGAATAATAACCATCATAACATTAGCTAATTACCATACTAATTAAAACTTTGTAGTTATCAATGGAATGAACAGGTACAATTAATTAGTATTTTTATAGTTAACGTTAATATTAACAATCATTATTACCATCATCACCAGCCCACTAGTAATGATTGGATGGATGGTTTGACATTAAAAAAAAAAAGAAAATAGAAATCATTGAATTGATGAAATGATTTTACCTCTGATAACTTATCAGTAATGGCATCAATTATGACAAATAATATTCGTCTTTAATTTTTTTAGAATAATGAAAAAAGAGTAATTGTTACGTTTGTTAGAAAATGACTCATGAATACTATCTGTGATAAAATAGTGATAATAGTAATAAAAATAATTCAAAATATAATAACTATTTGTTAAGTTCATTTCATTTAATGATTACGTTAATAAATTAATTAGGTTAATAAGTTAATAAGATAATTGGTAATAATGCTGGTAATTGTAATATCTATCAACTTTATCATATAATAATAACTGTTATAATAGGTAATTGTTATCATTCATAAAACTTAAATTGAAATTCAACAGATATCATTCAATGATTTATTTTATTTTATTTTTTTTTTTTATCTCTTTTTTTTTTTTGTTTGTTTATTTCTTGCTTGTTGATTTTTATTGAACATTCGAATATTTAGTGAAAAGAAAAGATGGTTGAATGGCATTGAAGAAAAAAAAAAAGAAATATGTACCCATTCATTAATACGACAGCAGTAACAAGGTAACGGGAATCATCTAACAATGACAATAATGACATTCAACAGAACTGGGAATGATAGTGAAATGCTACCAGTTTATTTTCATCAATCTTTTCTTTTTTCATCTTCGAGTGAAAAAAAGAAAAAAGAAACGAAAGCGGAAGGACGAAAAAAAAAAATTTCCTTCTATTTTTTTTTTTTTTATCTTTGATTTATTCTCAACTTTACATCATGGTTAATGATTATTGTTTTCTTTAGTTTTGCAAAATTTTCTTGAATTTTTCCTATATGTTTGATATTTTCGGTTGATGACATTTTTCCGCATCTTTTCCGCATCGGTTGATGATATTTTCCGCATCTTTTCGTTATAATTTATTATTAATTTATGCATTTAAATATCGAAATTGCAACGTTTCTAATGAAATTATGCCGAATGACATTTTCCGCATCTTTTCATTGCAATTTTTTATTTTATTTATGCATCTAAACATCGAAATATTATAAATTCCGGATGACATTTTATGCATCTAAACATCGAAATATTACAATTTGTTATTAATGAAATCATTCCGGATGATATTTTATGCGTTTAAACTTATAATTTGTCACTAATGAAATCATTCCGGATAACTTTTCGTCTATTACTTTGTTGATTTAAAATTTGAAAAATAAATATTTTGATCAAAAATTTGAAACAAAAATCAATACATTATGCATGCCTAATAATGGTTATTACAAAATTTTCTGGTGAATTAAAATTAAAAATTAAAATTTTTAGGTATTACCTCAGGTATTACAAACCATTGACTTTTTTTTTAAAAAAAAAATTATTTTCGGATAATTTTCAATTTGACTTACATTTCGATAGTATTTGTTGTATTTCAAAATGCTACCAAAAAGAATGTCTTCAATCAGATGACAGTTTTTTTTTTTTTTTCACTAAAATATATTCATATGTTACAATTTTACATGCATGAATACTATAATCCACACTAATTTGCAATTAGTAATAATTAATTGCTTTTGCTAAATACAGTAATTGGAAAGATGCAGTTCGAATTTTTAAATCTCTTCTTTCTTTTTTTTTTTTTAAAAAAAAAAAAGAAAAGAACGAAAGAGAAAAGATTGACAATATTGATTGTTTTACAATTTGTCATTCGTTTCATAGAAAAATATTTTCATTAAGAATAATTTCTTTCTGTGTTAATGAAAAAAATGATAATATTATCACTTAAGTGATGATATTTTTATCATTTTACAAAATCTAACTGATAATTTTATGTCATCCATCGTTTTCTTTCTTCAAATTATCAATTAATAATTATCGATTGCTTAATATTTTTCATATCAATGCTATCATATTGATGATAACTTCATATGGAATTTTCAGTTATTTTTGTATCATTCGCCCTTCTTTTTTTTTTTATTAACTTATCAATCAATCATTATCAATTGCATAATATTTTTCATACCAATATTATCATATTGATGATAATGTTATCATATTGATGGTAATTAATATTTTTCATATCAATGTTATATTGATATGTTATCATACGGAATTTTCAGTTATTTTGTTTATTGGCTGATGATATCATATTTGTGATTTCTGGAATATATGTATATCAATAAATAAATAAATTTATATTTAATCATGATCATTTCCTATTCTATTATTCTTGCATTAGTAGCAATTAAGAAAAGTGCTACAATTGTAAGCGAAATTAAAAGGTTTGATTAATTATACGCTATGGTAATTATAATTCATTAATAAACATTGCAAATTAATACAAATTATTCACTCGTAAATTATCATCTTCAGTAATCATCCAATTATTAAATGATATATTATCATATCAATAGCTATTGGCCATTTATCATATGATATCAATGCAATATGATATAAAATTAAAAAATAATCTTTTGAAAATTTTAAATTCATTCAAATTTTTTTTTCTTTCACTTCAAAAATAATTTAATTTGGTTATTTAGAACTTATTCTATCCTTCGTATTATTCCTGAAAATAGCGAACAATTACAATTCTTATCAAAATTATATTTAACCGATGATGAAATGGTAAAAAATTTTTTCTTTTTTCTTTTTTATTTACTAATTTTCTTCTTTTTAAATAATATAAAAACTAATTGATTTAGTTGAAAAAAAGAGTGCAAAATTTGACAAAAAAAAAAAAAAGTTTTAAATCAGCAAAAAATCAATAAGAAAACAATTTCATTTTATTAACAGATAATACAACATAATTAATAGTCATAAAATGAAACGAATTGATAACTCTTATCATTTACATTTATTTGCAATTAAATGATAATTTTAGCTGAAATCAAAAATAAAGAAAAAGAAAAGGAAAGAAAAGCAAAGATAAAAAGTTTAATTTAACTTAAATTTTAGGCAGATTTTTGGAAGGCACCAACAAAAATCAATGAAACCATTTATGTTATGATCAATCCAGGATTTATCAATAAATTTGATCAATTGTTAGGACATAAATCGATTCCTTATCATATCGAAGTGAACGATTATGCACAGTATGCTATTACTTCTTTTTTTTTCTTTTTATTCAAAATGATAAGTATTTTCTCTAAAGATTTTTTGATACAATATGATTTAGCTTAAGTGTTATTAATTTATTTTTATTTTTTTTTAATTTTATCAAAATAATAAGTATTTTCCCTAAGGATTTTTTGATACAATATGATTTAGTCTAATCAGTTCTATTTTGTTTAGTTTTTTCTTTTTAATTTTTTAAAGATATTAATTACAGCTGTAATTACTATTGTATAATATAGACCTTCTTTTAATAATTTAAATATTTTTGCAAATAAATATATTTTTATTTAATTTACTTAATTTGCATCTTTTGTTTGTTTATTAAATTTCCATCCTTTGTTTATTTATTAAATTTGCATCTTTTGCTTACATTTAAAAATTTTTGATTTAATTTATTTTACTCCATGTTTTCAGTTCATTAAAAATTATTTATTAATTTATTATTTTATTAATAACAAATAGCAGAGTAATACAAATTCATAGCAAATATGTTTTGGAAGCAAAAAAAAAAAAGAAAAAAAATTTTTCTTACTAATTATTGAATGACATAAATTCGAGGAAATTATTTTTTTTTTTTTAATTTTAATAGCAATTTATAAAATATGCAACAAAATAAAAAATTTATTTATATATTTAAATTTCAATTCAAATTTTACTCTTTGATTTAAAGTTTAAGTAACAGCTAT